AAAAAAAAAAAAAAAAAGAATAAAAAAAAATTTAAAAAAAATAAAAGAAAACAAAAGTATAATACCCTTCCTTTATGTAGAACCTTTTTGTTGAGTTCAACTCTCCACATCACCGCATTTATCTCCAGACAGAGGCAGGTATAATTCTGTTTGCAGTTTCAGACTTGCCCTTTATTATACTATACAGGTATGCTAGTTGTAAAAGTTATACTGATCCAAAACTACGGTGACAGAATTCAGCATAAGTGGCTACCTTGATGGAAAAGGGAGATACTTGTGAATAGAATAGAGGATGAAGGAGGCTTTTGCAGTACTGAAAACATTCTACATGTATCTTGATCTGGATGACATACATAGGTATATTCATATATAAAAATGTGTCAAGCTGTTCACTAAATACGTGTTCATTTAATATACTATATGTTATACCAAAGCAAAAGTTATGCCTATCAAGAAATTATTTCAAGTTTAGACCCATAATGTCTAGACTTTGTCATAACCACTTATTGATGAACAGAAAGAAACTTATCTGAGTAAATCACTGAAAAATATTTCTAGGCTTGGGTGGTGCCTGTGGCTCAAAGGAGTAGGGTACTCCATATCTGCTGGAGGTGGTGGGTTCAAACCCAGTCTCAGCCAAAAACTGCAAAAAGGCTTGGCACCCGTAGCACAGTGGTTATGCCGCCACATACACCAAGGGTGGCAGGTTTGAACCCAGCCTAGGCCAACCAAACAACTGCAACAAAAAAATAGCCAGGTGTTGTGGTGGGCGCCTGTAGTCCCAGCTACTTGCGAGGCTGAGGCAAGAGAATCACTTAAGCCCAAGAGTTGGAGGTTGCTGTGAGCTGTGATGCCATGGTACTCTACTAAGGGCAACATGGTAAGACTCTGTCTCAAAATACATATGTATATTTTTAAAGTTAGCAGAGCTATTTGCTTTCTCAAAGGTGAGCAATCTCTGCCAATGTACACATTTTAAAAAAATGTTTAAAAATAGAGGCATCATCACACTACCCGACTTCAAAATTTACTACAAATCTAGTATTACAACATGGTTTTAGCATAAAAACAGACACACAGGCCAATGGAACAGAACAGAGAACCCAGATATAAATCCACACATTTACAACCAACACGTCTTTGACAAAGGTGTATTGAGATGGAGAAAGGACAGCCTTTCAATGGTGCTGAGAAACCTGGATAACTATATGTGAAAGAATGAAATTGGGCCCCCATCTCTCACCATACACAAAACTCAAATCAAAATAAAGACTTAACGCTAAGACCTGAAACTATAAAAATACTAGAAGAAAACACTAGGAAAATGTTCTAGGACATTACTTTGGGCAAAGATCTTTCGAGTAAGACTTCAAAGCAAAATCATCCAAAGCAAAAACAGACAACTGGGATTACATCAAGCTAAAAAGGTTCTGCACAGCAAAAGAAACAATTAACAAAGTAAGGGCAGGGTATGGTGGCTCATGCCTATAATCCTACCACTGTCGGAGGCCACTGAGGTGGGTAGATTGCTTGATCTCAGGAATTCAAGATTAGCCTGAGTAAGAACAAGACCCCATAAGTCAGGCACTGTGACAGGCACCTGTAGCCCCAGCTACTCAGGAGGCTGAGGGAAGAGGATTGCTTAAGCCCAAGAGTCTGAGGTTGCTGTGAGCTATGATGCCACGGCACTCTACCAAGGATGACAAAGTTAGACTCTTGTCTCAAAAAAAAAAAATCCAAAACAAAACAGAAATCTTGTCATTTGCAACAACATGAATAGAATTGGAGATCATTACATTACATGGCAAACACAAAAAGTCAAATGTTCTCACTCATATATGGGAGCTAAAAGTGCTGGGATTATAGGTGTGAGTCACCATGACCAGTTACCTACTCTCCTGTAATCTTTCTTCCAGGGTACACCCTCCCTCTCTAATTTAATCTACCCTTAACCTTTCCTATCTCAGTTATCTGTTTATGGTTACTCCATCCCTTCAATTCTCAGGTCAAAAACTTTAGTTATCCTTTACTTCAACTGACTCAATTGTTGAAATATATCTAGAATGTAACTAGTTCTTTTTTTTTTTCAGAGAGAGTTTCATTCTGTTGCCCTGGGTAGAGTGCCATGGCATCACAGCTCACAGCAACCTCAACTCTTGTACTCAAGAGATCCTCTTGCCTCAGTTTTTTTCATTTTTAGTAGAAACAGGGTTTCACTCTTGCTCAGGCTGGTCTCAAACTCGTGAATTTAAGCAATCCACCCACCTCAGCCTCCCAGAGTGCTAGGATTACAGCCGTGAGCCACCAAGCAGGCATAAGAATATAACTGTTT